TGTGTGTGTGTGTGTGTGTGTGTGTGTGTGTGTGTGTGTGTGTGTGTGTGTGTGTGAGTGTCAGACGCTGACAGATGCAATGTTCATCATTCTCATTCAAAGGCAAATATGCAAATGTGAAAGGTTGCATGCCTGGGCCATGTTGGAGTCTCACCTGTCTGGTAGATGCAGAAATCACATAATACTGAAATCCTTAGCAATTACAAAGCCATACATTTGAAATATATATTTTTTTATTTTTAATCAACTGCTGTCTGCCTGGCGTCATAAATATTCTAAAACCTGTACATGCTTTCAACTTCATAATGCATTGTTCCATGGATTTTTCTGTCATTCCAGCAGAGACAAAGCTCATCACTATGTACAAAAGCTTAAATCACAGATGCATGGACTTGTCTGAGTTGAGTGGATTTGCAGAACCTAGAGAGTGGGGCCTAATCTTCGTGTGGCGGCTTTTCAGAAAGATTATGGCTAATAAGACAGACATAGAGATTAGAGAGGAGACTACCGGACGCTCTGGGGTGGGGGCTCATGGGGAATCATCTTAATTTGAACTAATGGATTGAATTGATTTTGCCAGGAGACAAAACATCCATTTTGCAATGACACAGGTTTGATTGTTTTTCATTTGCAGTAAATTTGCAGATGAGGACAAAATATGATATCTCCCTGGAGGTGCATATGTCCACTTGCCCTCCACATCAAAGAGTGGAGAGTGGACACAGGTGCTGCCCAGTGGTTCGCATTGGTCGCAGCCTGGGGAATTTCCAAAGGGCAGCATGTCCATGAGAACCCACGGTGGTGTCATACAGTGCAGGGAGGACGTGCGAGGGAGGGGAGGGCCAGAGGGTTCGGGTTACCAGGCCCGCACTCATGTCTCAGTTTGGAAACGTACCGAGAGGAGTGGGAGAGCGAGAGACAACAGTCAAATGTCAGGCCTATAAAGCATTTTCACTTGAGCGGAGTTCGACCACCAAACTCAGACGTTATTATTTTACAGTGCGACTTTAAAAAAAAAATGCCAGAGCTATTATCACGTGCTCAGATGGGATGTCCTGCACTGGCATGTGCAGTCTGATGATGTGTTGGTATGTGGTGGTCAGCATAGAGAGAGGTTACCGAGAAAAGGATTAACATGGCTGTCAAGGATCATCAGCATGAATTATGGTTTGTGGTTTTCTCGTAGGTTATGAATAAAGAAAGTCTACAGTTGCATTTATGGCTTGAAGACAATTTTACTATTTCCTTTGCTATAAATTTTGACTTTTTTTTTGGCTGAATATATCCACCCTTGGTTTTGGGAAGTAGTTGCCAATTATTCTTGCTTTTTCTCTGACATTACAAAGACTACAACACAAATATCACAATCAACAGGTGAACCAACATTCCTCCGACACTCCCACACGCCTCCCTCCTGTGAGTAAATATTTGTGCTGACAGAAGGACCCCTGCACGGCTCCAGATGCAGCTTTAAAAGGCTTGGGATTTGGCATGTGACGAGAAGTGACAGGCTAATCTGTTTAAGCAGGTACGGCAGCGGGGCGCGGAGCCACGGCCTTCTGCTGCCGGTAATCTCTCACGAGCAAGTGAGGAGGCGATGGATCGACAAGTTTAGGGGTGAATTGATTGTTGTGTTGTATGGCACTTCTTCGTTGGGTTGCATTGTCTTCGAATGCATCTCGTGTGAGGGCAAAGGATGATGGGAATAGTCGTTATATTTTGAATCTACGCACCAGATCCATCCAGATACAGCCACTGGGGTTAAATATTTGAGTTTCCTTTTTCAAATAGAAAGAAGCAATAAGTCACTTATCGATAGTTTCATATCGTCTCGCCTCCATTTCAATCAAATGAAACATGGTGATAACATTGAACTGGACAAACAGTATTTGGCCTCTGTCGTGACGTCACCGTCAGACACTGTGAGAAATTAAACCCGGGATTTATGTTGATGCATCTTCCTGCCAACTCCTTCTCTTTCAGCGTGATTGACAGTTTGAGGGTAGTGAGGCAGAGATCATTAAAACACACACACACACACACACACACACACACACACACACACACACACACACACATTAAGGCACCTTGAGCTCCGCCAGCTGGAGGTCGGATTAGACGGCCTGGCTCGGAGGCTTTATCGAAGGTGTTTGATTCATCATTAATGGGGAGAGATTAGAGGTGCATTTCACGCGAGGATGAGAGTGTGTGACTGGAAGCTGGACTTTATAGTTTCAAGTAGTTTTCTGGTGAGTAAATCGCTGGAGGAACGTGGCTGCACAACACCACTGAATTTCCCTTACCGGCTTTCCCACAATTTATTGTTCTCATATTTCTATCCTGTCTGGACACATCACCCAGTCACACTATCTTAGGAGACGCACGGTGAGAACTTCATGGGTCGTAACCGTCATTCCACGTGCCTGACATGCGGTGGCTTTTGGCGGGCCTAATGATGTGTCCTTGAGCCGGACAGCTAAGATGCTCGTGCTGAGAGGAACGCGTTTCCCCACAGGAATCAATAAAGTAAAGCAACTCAGTTCGAGGTTAATCAGGATTCCAAGAGTATTAAATTGCACATAAAGTTTTCAATGTTTTTTACATTTAAAATGGATGGTCTCATTTTCATTCAGCCATCATCAAATTGTCTAGAGCTAATATTATTTTATGATTGGGCGTAGCTGGACTTTGTGAATCATTTGTAAGAAATACAGGGCTGAGGCTTTTCAAGGACGAGGAGCAGACGGTGTGTAATTTGTCTTTTGAGCTTTTGCCCTAAATAAAGCATTCATCACTTAATTCATAGCAGCCAGTGCACTCTAAGCATATTTAAAAACTTAAATAATACATTAAAAAACATTTTAGTTTGATTAATTACAGTACATCGAGCTTAAACTACATAAGAATCATTTCATTTCCTGGTTCAGTTTAAACTTATATTTGGTTTATAATACAAACAACATAATTCAGATATCCTCCCCTGATTCCTTACATCAATAAGGTTATTTTTTAATCTGTGTTTGTTATTTAACCAGATTACGCAAAAAATACTAAATCAATATCCATGCAATTTTGTGAAAGGGAAGTGCATTACCCAAGGAAGAAGCCATTAGACTTTTAATGTGGCTGGATTTAAATGAACCCTGTGTAGGTACGGAGCATTTTGAAATGGAACAGTCTCGTCTACTAGGCCCCTGATTTGGGACACAGCCTTTGAAGTTACAGTACATTGTTTCTTGTCGTGCTTCAGTCACCAGTTAACTTGTGCCTGCACACATGAGGTCTGTTAAGAACCAAACCTTTGTTTGCTCGGTCGACTTTGGTGTTGATTAGTTTGGTCATAGCGTTGAAGTGGGGTCGACCAGTCCAAGAAGAGTGTGGACTGAGGGACACATGGAACGGTGGCTTGTTTTTTTCGCAGGGGTCCTGTTTCTCACACAGAATACCAGCCACTCTGAGCTCTGGGAAAGGAGCACTATATATACCGAGGGGGGGGGGGGGGGGGGGGGGGACTGCAGTGTTGTCCAATATTAGTCTCTCTCGCTATCTCTCTTGCTGCCTGACCTGCAGCCCTCTGCTGCCAAGTGGAGTCAAAATTATTTCGGCCGAGATCAGTTTGTCCGGCGGGGCGGGCATTGACAGATCAGCTGGAAGGTGCTTTCGCAGAGGCTGTTCCCATGTGAGCAAGTGAGGACATACAAACAGAAGGGGCTCGGGGACAGGTGGCGATAAAAATGGACAAGGAAGGACGGCTAGTAGCACTTCATTTTGTGTGTGAGAGGAGTAAGGTTTCCAAATATATATCGTCAGCTCAACCTGTTTGCTCAGGACATCACACTCTCGGTTGATAAAACTGATAAAACACTGGGGACACTTGTTCTATTATTTTCACGTTGCATTTTATTGCCGACATCTTCCTCCAGGAGACACTTCCCCCTCAGGTGCATCACAACCGAAACAGCTCGTCTCCTGCCGCGTTAATAATTCACAAGCGTATATTTAAGCCAGTGCTTGAGTGAGGTTACAGTGTGATTTGCTGCAATGGACTGCTCATCTCTGTGGAAGTGTAATTAGTGATGGATGGCTGCCTGCACTGCATTACAAACTATCAGTGGGGGGGTGATGGCTGGAGGCTCTGATCATGTGTGAAAAAATTCAACATGGTGAGATCGATAAAGCTTTACAAGTCAATGAACTGGCTTTGAAGTTTAATTTTACTTATTGCACATGTCCTCAGTCAGACTACTTACATCCCTTTTTTTGACATATCCGAGGAATAGATTTTGTAAATTTGGAGAATCTGTTCTTCTCAGATCAACACACTTGAAATGAGGCTGACATTGTCGATGTTCTGGATTTGGTATTTTCCCTCCCAACACACAGCACATCACATCACGTGGTGAGACAGAAAAAAACAAGGATGATGACAACGTCATAAAAATGTATCTCATTAACAGCGGATGGAGAAGAGACTTGTTGCTGTGGCTCAGGAGATGGAGCCAGAGGGTCGGTGGTTTGATCCCTGGCTCCTCCAGTCTGCATGCTGAAGTGTTCTTGGGCAAGACACCGAACCCCTAATTGCCATGGACGGCTGTATAAATATATAGAACGTGCTGCGTAGAGAAGCGCTCTATGAATGTGTGGGTGAATGGGTAAATGAAACTTAAACTGCTTGAGTGGTGGATAAGACTGGAAAAGCACCATTTACTCCCATTGTGAGGCTATGACATGAACGATACATATAATACTGGGGGAGAAATGCACAACATACATGTGCCAATTACATGTAACCGACATAATATGTATTTGATAGACCTGATTCAGTATCAAGTTGCTCATGTCAACCCACTCATTTAATAAAAATACATTCACAGGATTAAATTCTGAAGGAGGAGGCATGACAGAACAAAAC